GCAAATCCGTCATGTTTTCAATGTGCGCGTGCATGAGCGCGCGCTAATGACGCCATAAATTATGCGCAGTAAGGATGCGCAATGCAAATGCGAGGAATGACCTTAAGAAAGAAAAATTGAATACATGTGATCTAGATATCGATCCCACCTCACAGATGTGACCATGCATTGAATACATTGAAGTGAACTCAACTTGTTTCTTGGGAGGTACATTCATGTATCAACATTGACAACAGTGGAAAAAGAAACTGTTGGTTGAGAATTGAATGGCTAGAATAACGAAGCGCCCGAAGTCTAAAAATAGCGGGCAAATTATTGAAACCCAGCGACAGTCAGACAACATAAGAGTGTTCTGAGAGAAATAGGAGGTACATGAAGGTCAAATTTTCCTGTGAAAAATTGTTCTAGGAACACTTGCTTACGCACTTGAAAAAGCGTCAAATTTTCCACCATTCCGTTTTGTTTGTCTGAGTTATGGCATCACTCGCGTGCTTTGCTATTCCCTCTGTGAGATGCACCTACAGTGTACAGGGAATCATGGAAGTTGTATTCATCAAAACAAATATCCAGTCCAAATGGTGAATACAGCTAACATGATTCCCTGCAGGCATGTCGCATAGAGGCTGGAACTGACCATTTCAGAGTTCACAAAATGTACAAATTGTATTAATATACATAATATGTGGTATTGTGTGTTGAACTCTGGATTGGGCAGTCCAGGCACAATTTTTTACAGGTCATATCTCAAGCTGCTTTCTTGGGATTACGATACTGCTGAACCTGGGGGGTGGGCAGTACTCCCTTTCATGGGCTATGTAGATATGTGCAGTAGGATAGGGTAGGGTTTTTGAGGTTCTCAATCCTTAATATTTGCCCCTGTTTGTATTGTGTTCCTGATGTGATAGGCTACCTAAATTATATCAGCTAAAATTGCAGTGCTTGAATGACCAGCTAAATGGAAAACATATGATCTGTTAAAACTGAACTATTCATAACCTTCCATTGTTACAGAAATGAAATAAAGTTGAACCATTCAGGCTATTCTTAGTTTTTGTTTTTCCCTCGGATAGGGTGTCATATTTTGGGTGTGGGCCTTAAATAGGGTTAAACGATTTTCCTTTGCTTCATCCTTAATAGGGTCAGGGTTTAAGACCCTTTGCAGCACACACCTATCCAAGATTTAAGGAAATAAAATGGGTACCAGGGCAACATTAGTAAGAGAAATTGTTATTAGAATTAAAGTGGACTCACTGACCAGCAGTTCTAGGTCTCTAGATGAACAGTCGTGCACATTTGTCATTAGTATTGTTGAAAATATCTATAGTATACCCTTTCCAATGGATGTTTTTTGGGTTCTCCCCCACCCCCTCCCTTCTGGAAATTCCAGTAACGTTTTAGCTTCACATGTTTCTGATAAGAAACTTTAATTTCATAAATGTTTTTGTTCTTCAACTGTTTCAATTTCAGAATGAAAAGAAAACAGTCTGTGGTTGCAAGCATTACAGATAGACAATGCATGGTCTAAGAAACTTAACTGTATTAACATGATGTTTCGTATGTTACAACATACATCTTCAGAAGTGATGGTTATAACTATAACAAAACATTATAAATTTAAAAATAAAGGGAGGCACTGGTGACGAGCTAAAAATTAATTACTTTAATTTGCTGTTGAGATCACCCACCCCACCCCCTCGAAATTTCCAGTGACTTTCCATGAGGTGGGCATCAATGGATATTTTCTGTATTATTAACACAAATAATGAAGGAATGTTGTCTCTGATGATAGCACCAGGCCAGAGTGGCGATGATCCTGTACTGCAGCCAGGGGATTATTCCTATCCATTTCAGTTTCTTATTCCAAATCAAAACATGCCAACATCAGTTGAAGGAAGTCACGGCTATGTTCGCTATTGGTTGAAAGGCATCATTGATAGGCCATGGAGGTTTGACATCACAACGACAGCAGTATTTACTATGTTGGAGTATGTTGACATCAATACGTTCCCGCTTTTGGTAAGTCAGCTGCTGTTAAATGCTGAATGTAGGGATTGTGATGATGAATGTTATAATATAAACAATAGCCTCCATTTGTTGTGAAAATATGCTGTGATATTTGTCTGCAGGCATTGCATGTATCTGTTCTGAGAAGCAACAACAACAACAATTTATTGGTATTCCCATATAAATGGTGTTACCTAAATACATAATCGTTAAATAAAAATTCAAAAACGAAAAGAATTACAACAGCAACCAGAAAGAAAAGTAAACATAGTTAGTTACAAGATTCTTCATTTTAAGTTCTAGGGTTACAAAGTTCTCTTATTTGTAGTGCTTCATAAGTAAAGTAACCTAGTTTTTTACAAATAAAAGTGTGCCAGCATTGTTAAATAGAAATATTGTTTTCTCTGTGTTATTAAAGGAATCAAATTTTGGATATTTCTTGATGATGTCATTTGTGACTTGTTGTCTAATATTATTGTATCGGTCACAATGAAATAAGAAATGCATTTCATTCTCAATTTGGTTAGAACAGCAGTACTGACAAATTCTAAGAGTTTCAGGTAATTTAGGAGTACAGTGTCGCCCAGATTCAATTCTAAGATTATGATTACCAGATTGGAGTTTTGCCAAAGCTTGTCTATGTTTGAGAAGCAAACTTTCTGACTAGAGAGAGAAGCGTGCGGAAAACTGTGAGCTTTGCAGGGGCGGATCCAGGATTTTTCATAGGTGGGGGTGCACCACTAAGGAATGGCGTAACTGACTGGTGAAGTAAACAAATTTTAAAAGCGAATACCAAGAAGAAAGAACGACCTTGGGAAGGGGGTGCACACCCCCTGCACCCTTCCCCTAGATCCACCCCTACTTAAAGGAACAGGTAATATTCAAGGAAAAGATCTTGGGAGCATATTTTCATGCCAAATGGAGGCTATTGTGTTTAATTACCTGCTCAAATATTTTTTGCAACATGTGGGATCTTTTCAAAATTGAGCAATATAATCACCTGGATATTTCCCAGAATTAGCTGGGGCATATTTAGGCACATGATGTTTTTAGAGCGATCCCCTGCAAGCGAAAATATTTGATGGATTGTTAGAATATATTATACATGAAATGTTGTAAAACCAGGTTAATTACTGTTTAAATTAATTTATTTTAATTAATAATTCCACGCTGTACTAGCGCAAATTATACAATCATGTACATGCAATATAGATTCTGTGGCCGGTCAGTTTGTTTTTTAAAGAAGCAGTCAAAATAATTGATCACTTAATCACCCACAATGCTTAAAATTTATTTAAGTAGATAATACAATATTTATTTTACTTGCAGTTGCTTTTAAGGCTCTATCAGACTACACTGGGGTTAAAAAACCCTATACCTTTACTGTAAGGATGTTTTAATTATGAGTACATGTAAATATCTTAGAGTCAGGTATAATTAAAAAATATCTTCTTATTACGGACCTAGGATTATAAACTGTCGACAAAACAGGCATATATTCAGTTGCTGCTGCGGTCTTTCTTTAAGAACTTATTGTAAGCAGTTAAGTCGTCGAACTGTACATTTATTTAATTAAATTGTATTAATACTATCTCAGTTTTGTATTCATCATATCTTAGTTATCTAGGGAAATTTAATAAGTGGGAAAGATTCTTTATAACGAGTTTGAGGTTCAGACAAATACTGTAAACTCATGTTGGCTGATGAGTGTGATGATCGACTTATGTGCAAGGGTCAACTTAGCAAAAGTATAACTTTTATTTGTGATCAGTAATTAAGCGGTATTAGATGTCAAACTGTGTGTTGATTTGATTCCTGAGCAGCAACCTTGTCAGATGTCAGAGGATCGGAATGTTGGATGTCTTTGCTGTAAATCTGGCCCACTCAGTGTCACTGTATATACTGACAGAGGTGGCTACTGTCCTGGTGAGTCAATTGGTGTCTCGGCAGTCATCAACAATCATTCCAACAATGAAATTCTTGGTTTGGAGATTCATCTCATTCAAGTCACCGTTTATATTGCCTCTGGTGGTAAGCAATTAACTTCCATGTAATGGTACTATAATTACTAACAACAATTTTTGCTCTGAATGTAGCAAACTGTAAAGTCTTAAGTCCTGATATGGACACTTGTGATCCTTTTGTTTTGCAGACACTGAAAACAATAACCCAGCTGTAGATAGCAAAATTCATACACAGTATTTATTAATTGAATTTATCTAGCTAGCTTCTAGAGCACAGCCATGCTCTGCACCATACTTAAATAACATAATCTCCAACTGGTTGACTGCAAGGAAGATGAACAAATTCCTCAACTTTGATTGTCTACCAGCCAAGCAGACAAATGGGGGCCATATGAATACTTAGAATATCTTAGGCCTTGGAAAATTTTGATGAGTCATGAAGTCTCATTGTTAAGACCTGTGTTATATTCATCTCAGAGTCAAAATCGTATAAGCCAAGTCTGACAGTCTTGGATCTTGCCCTCTTGTAATGTTTGTTACCTTCAAGTGGGAGAGGGCTATTTTACCCAATCAGGATTAATTGCCCAGCTGTATTCTGTAAGAAAAATGTTGTTCCATATGACACAATACATAATGCACTGAAATCTCATGATTGTGCAGGACCGTGTAATTGACTGCATCTTGACCCATTAATATGAAAACTTGGCCAATAGACATTATACAGCCATCTTGATTGCATGTTCAGTCAAAATAGCCAATGCATGTATATTTCTTTAACTTCACAGACTCCACATCTTGCAAGCGTTTGGCAAATTTTGTCATCTTTTTTAAACTGAAATAAATAAATTTCAGTTTGAGTACTAAGATGCAGCATAAAATGACCTAATTCAGAACACTATTTACAGCCCTTTGAAACTCCACTGCATATATACACAATGGTCTACTCATGCTTCAGTGTCTGTGTAAGAGTGGTTAATGACTGCAGTCCATCTAACAATTATGCATGTACATTGGATCAAAAGTTTTTAAATGCCAGCTGTAATCTGAAATGTTGGTTTTTCCCGTCAGGAAAGCAAAAGCATTGTGAGGACAAAGTTGCAGCCATGCTTCAGGGAGGAGTGAAGCCCCATGAAGAGACTCACATGCCAATGGTGGCATTTCCAATACCCTCTCTACCCCCATCCATGTTAAGCTGTAGGTGTATGAGGATGTCATATGTGTTGAGGGTAAGTTGTTGTTTCTTGTTCTATATATATAAACCATTGTTTTTATGTAATTAAGCGTCAGCATCAACTCTAACCATTTATTTATCTTTTTTGTTAGCTGAAAGTGCGAGTGAAAGGCGCATTCAATTCAAATCTAAACATTCCCATCACTATTGGCTCAGTACCATACAGGCCACCCATGCAGCCACAGTACCCCCAGCCAGCTGCAGGTAATTTTGCTGGCCCATCTCCACCCCTGGCAGGATTCAGTGAACCATCAGGCTATTCTGCAGCTTCCCCACAGATTGGGGATGGTACACAGCCATACCCCAACTATGGTAAGTGATCAATATGCTATTTTGTCACGGACTATACATTAATACATTGTATCTCTTTAAAAGATATAATAAAATAAATAGGCCTTTGTTAGTGATGCCCAGGGCCTTAGCCCTGTAAGAGGCAAAGGGGGCACTTGCCTCAACGGTAAAACTCTTAGTCTACAGAAAGTTAAAGTGAGTTGTAGGAATAGTGAGTTTACACAAACCACAGTGACGATGGCAAAAAACGTTCCGCAACAAAAAGTGACAAAAGTTTAATTGTAACCTGAACAATGGCTCTGCATGATGTGCGTTGTTCACATTCAATGAGTTATGTGTAATGTGAACAATGACGGTGAATTAACTACAAATTTAATACACTCTTTTTCATAAGAACTGGCATTTATTTACCATTTTTCCCCAAACCTACGGAAATTTCGGTCAGATTGTAATTTTACGATAACTACAGAAATTCTCGCGCGCTCATTGGCTAATTTTAATTGTCAATATGCGGAGAGACACATAAATTTATAATTTATGCAATGCGTCAACGAGCGAGAGCGGACAATTTGACAATCTGTTATCGTAAAAAACAAATTGACGTCAAATTTTTATACGTCTCCTGTTATTGACAATGAATTTCGTCATAACATTGTCAAAGTAGTCTGCGGATGCACTCGGCTATTGCCTCGTGGATCCACAGCTACTTTGACAATGTTATGACGAAATTCATCATCAATAACAGGACAGACGCATGAAAAACTGACGTCATAATAATAAAATAATAATACATAATATTTTAAGGGGAGGCCTCCAATCACCATAAGGTGGTTTTCAGGAGGGTCCTCTGAGAAAATAAATGTTCAACCTTTAAANTAAAATACAATAAAAAGGACAAAAACCTATGCGGTAAGCTAACTAAGATTAAAAACTAAAACAAGAATTAAAATACTACTAACTAAGGTTAAAATGGTGTGAATGTGTCAATTTGATAAATGGTAAGACAATTTTGCCTCGACCAACCGTCTTCCCGCCAATTGGGATTTTTAAGTTCATTTGCATTACTTGTTTCATCATTGGCCCTGAAAAGCCTCATTCTGGGAGTGGTCAATAAGATATTAATTTAATTTAACGTAATTTAATTTTATTGTATTTTATTGTGTCGTGTCCGTCTAAGAAAGTCGTAGAGATGTTATAAATGTCTTGTTTAACACTGTTTGCTGGTCTTTTTTCATCTGTAGCACCACCATCCTATGCGGAATGTGTAAGAGGGGGAGCGTCAATTACTAATGAAGGTGACTCTGGCAAAGCCCTGGGCGACAGTACATTTACACCAATGTACCCGTTCGTTAATAATTACCAGTTCCCTTCTGCTCCACCGGCGCCATTTCCACAGGATTCCAAACGTCAATGAATGTTTTAGATGTATATGCGTGGAGCGTGGCGAGCATTTTTGGTGAAGCACCACGCTCATTTAGAATTTTTACGGAAGCGCTAAAGGCGCGAGCAGATAGATTAATAGTTGTGTAGAGGAATTTTCTCGGGAATTGTTGAAATTTAGGAGCTCGTAAATGCCATTTCGTACATTTTCCAGGAGATGTCTTAATTTTCAAAAAAGTGCGGTGTTTCCTACGTTTTTCAGCCGTGCCTTCAGCAGTGATTATATGGTCTTGAAGAACCAATAATAAATTGCAAATAATTTGACCGAAAGGCCAATGTAATTATAGAAACCGCTGACAAGAAACATAGTTCTTAATAGAAACTTATATAAACATTTTGAGACATGAACAGGTTACCTCATTTGTATAGTGTGACTGCTTTCGAACAAGTTTACAAACTGTAAAATATTTTAGCTAAGTTACTTAACTTATGATTGTATTATAATCCAAAACATAACTAAAAACATAAAATATCCTTAACTTCATTTCATTCTTGCCGTTCTGTAATTATTGAGAAAGTTTGTTTCATAGTACTTAAAGTCTGCAGGTGCGCAAAAAAAAAAGAAAAAGATAGAAAAACTGCCGTTAAAAAAACACGAATCCTTGGGACTTTAGCGAATCCCAAACAGAAGACGCCACGGCGTTCTGTAGGATATTAGTTTTTATTCATGCTTGTAAATGCTACGAATTAATTGCTGTTTTACTGTTATGTTGTTGCATAATTGCCCATTGTTACACCACGGCATAGTTAATAGAGGGGAATGGTTACATAAAGCCAACAGAGTTCATTGTGATATGTTTTTGAACATTCGCTTTTTTTGGCCTTTATTGTGCACAAAACACAATTGTTTCATTCTGATTGATGACTAAGCAATCGTACCGTTTCTATTTAAGTTATTAAGGCATAACATATGAACGCAAAACAAAAGATTTTACACGGTCATGGGCCTTGCAAATTTAAGTCTTGTCATATTATTTTTTAACCATTCCCCTCTATTAACTGTGACCGTAGCCTGCTGTTTTGCGTGGCTAAATAACAAAGACAACAGTAAAATAATAAATCCCTTATTGCACGGGTTCGCGGTAGATAATGGTCACGGACATTTTGTAAGCAAGTCAGTTTTGAGATATCGTCGCGCACTATCTGTGAAACATCAAATTATCTCTAATTATTTACGGAGTGACTCTTCAGCAGTCAGTCAGAGCGAATATTAATTACTGTATTTGTAATCAAAAATGAAAGCTTATTGAATGAACCACTCTCCCCGTTTTTGTTGAGGGGAGGGGACGGATGTACACGGGCTATGGGCAATTTGTGGACTGAGGGTCTTAATAGACTTGCCTTAGATCGATGATTTTAACTCATTATAGGACGAATTCGAACGCGAAGCATGAGTTCTACTGATACGAAAATTCAGGCTGGGAGTTATACGCTCACTGTTCGCTCGCGGTCTGTTTGCGCACAAGCGTATAGTCTTAACGAGCCAAACCTATGGATCTGTAGAGCTAAAATCCAGGTTTTTAATTTATACTGTGCTATCAATGAAACTTATTTGCACGGTTCGGCTAGCGGTCCTAAATAGACCATATTCGTACTCCCGGTATTAGACTGGAACTAGCTTGCAACTGAGGCTAATGCGGGGAGTCTTGATAGTCCCCCGCATGAGCCTCGATTGCAAGCTAGAACCGAGGATACGAGTTGACTGAGACTGCAGTAGACTCTTCCACTAGCAAACGCGAGGCGGGCAATATTCCTTTACGCCTGAGATAACAATCTAGACCGTTAAATTAATGTTATCAGTAAGGTACAATGCCTTTGAAAGGTTTTTATTCATAAGTTCGTTCGTCACGTGTCCCAAGTGTATAAGCTAGTATCGCCATCATAAGCGTACGGGCACGTTCGGACTTGGAGGACTGGATGGCGACCTTATTACCCGAAAAAAATACACAATGCCCGAAAGGGTGAGTATTGTTCAAACGCGCTCAAATCGCAGTAAAAGCAAAAACGTTCCTTGCCCTTATGTCTTGTTCGCAGTCTCGTTTACCTGTGGCCAAGCCACCGCAGGCGGCGCTGGGTCAGGAGTGCAAAAATGCTTGGGATGCCTTGCTTGGTCGAGAACATTCTTGTTTGGTACACGATCTTGCCACGTGATACCCATAATTCGCCTGAGGTTGCGCAAGGGAAAGGTGTTGAGCCTGCGTTCTTGGCGGGATTATAGAGTCCATGACTCGCTGCCATAGAGCAGAGCACTGAGCACACAGGCTTGGTACACCAGCATCGTGGTGTTGATGGTCGGCATGCGGTTGTGCCAGACCCTCATTGCCGGGCGGGCCAGGGCCGTCTCTGCTTTGCTGATC